GGGGGCGAATGTGTGTGTGTGTGTGTGTGTGCGCGCGCGTGTGTGTCCACGGAGAGGGGTCTCTGAAGTCTGTTCTGCAGATTCTTGTCTTGACCTTGGACGAGTGACTAACCTTTCTGAGCTTCAGTTTCCTCATGTGCAAAGTAGGAATAATAAATAGTACCCATCTGCGAGCTGTTGGCAGGACCTAATGACATAATGGACCAGAAAGCATTTAGGGCCCTGCTGAGCACTTAGTTAAGAGCTCCATAAATGTTTGTTTGTTTGTTCTATTTATTCTACTATTGTTAATTTGCCATTCATCCTGTCTCCCTTTGGGCAGAAACTTTCTCTTCTCTTTTTCTCAGAACTCAGCTCAAAGCTCCTCTCCTGTAAGTGTCTCGTCCTCACCCCCCAGCCCCCGAAATTGCTTCTTGTACCCCTCTCCACTCTCCCAGAGGAGGGGAGGGGCGCTGCATCAGCGGAGTGCCTACAGGGTGGGAGGGCTCTATAATGCATTATCTTATCTTTACCCCCAGGGCATCCTTTGGAGGTCAGTGTTATTGTGCCCATTTACCTGATTGGGAAGGTGAGCTCAGAGTGGTTCAGTGACTTGTTTAAGGTCAAGCACAGAAAGCTCTATAGAGGAGCAGATTCAGAATCTGAAAGGAGGCTCCCAGGCTTCCCCCACGCTGGCCCCTTCGAATGTCTGGGTCTTTGGGGGCTCAGTGAGGGTTGAGTTCTTCTCTTGGGCAGGGATCCAGACTGTTAGGCTTTGGGCTCTTAGAAGAATAGGCCTGATCTAAAGCCTTCCCCTCCACTCGTGCTTGGTCATGGCCACCAACTCTAGAAGGCCATAATCCATCATAATGGAAGTTAATTATATGTCCAATTACGGACAGAGGAAACCAGAATATGAACTCAGCAGGCAGCATTAAAGAAAAACATGCAAATCATTCTTAGCTTCCTTTGCTTTTAAATATAAGTTGTTATTATGCCAAGGGTAATTAAATCCTGGAACTCCAGAAGGCATCATGGCCAGCTCTGCCTGGCAATCCATTTCCAGAGAATGCCCCTTGGCCCCCTCTGCTCTCTTTCCCAACACTCTGGTGGACTTGAGTCCCTTTGGTCTAGCCTTGACTTTGCAAGGGCTTCAGCCCAACCTTAGTGCTGTCCTCCGTGGAAGGTGGAGTCCAAGAGCGCAGTGTCTTGTGCTTTAGCTAGGGCTGCCAGTGGTGGTACTGTTGGTTTCAGTACCAGGTAGTCTTATTCCAGTTTTCTCCAGGGAATAGTAGTAGTATTGGAGAAGTCTTCCCTTGGTGGCTCCCTCACTAGAAGAAATGGAGTTACCCTGAAGCATGGAGGATTTAAATTAGACTTATAGAGGCCCTAATGTGATGCTTGCTGGGACCTCTTTCTGGGTTTTGGTGGGTGGATGGAGCTGACTCTTCTGAGAGTGTCCCCAAAGGGAGCCCTTTGAAAGAGACTGTCTGGAGAGTATGGCCCTGAGCTTGCGGTTTAGTTGAGGGAGAGACTCTTTGTTGGGTGGGGGGTGAGAAATCTTGAAGGCACCTGGGAAGGGGTGAAGGTGAATGGGCAGGCTGTGGGTTTTGGGCATCTGGATATTTGGAACCCTCCCACCACATCCACACACTTAACGCGTCCTGTGGCATGAAGTAGCTGAACAAATACTTTTTTGGTTGGGTGGTTGACTTGGCCATGTCTTGGTGGGGGTAGACACAGTCCCCCTCTGGCCCTGCCAAGGGTCAAATATCCGGATGCCTTGAAAACTTGTCCTCTGAGGCCTTACCCATGGCTCCCCTGGGACGTTTTTCCCCCTCAAAGCTTCCAGGGAAGAAACCATTCCAACCCAGATTCCCTTCTCCTCCTGAATTGTCTCACAAAGTGTGGAATCCACAGACTTTGGTTGACCTTGATTCTTTGGGCACCCTCAGTCCCCCAACTGTGGAAGAAATGCTGCCAAGCCTTCAGAGTTACCTGAGTGTAGCCCCATCTTGACGACGTTACCCTAGGAAAGAGGAGAAACGGCTGTGAAATCCCCCAAGCCCATAAAGGTGACAAAATGGCCACTCTACATGGTGAGGCAGGTGGACCCAGGGGTGTGAGTTTCTAAAAGGGAGGGGCAGTGAAGGAGGGGTCAGAATCCTCTTCTTCCTCTGGCTTTATCTCTTCTAGCCTAGCTCACCATAACCTGTGGATCGTCTTGCGTTAGCTCCCCTAATGGAGTCCTCAAATCCAGCTCCCATATGACCACTCAAAGAGCCTTGCTGTGTCACGGCCGTCCTCTGCCCTAACCACGTGCAGGAGGGGCTGGAGGGCTACACGAAGTGAGTTGGTGGGGAAGGTTTGTTTTCTTAGAAGGGGTTACATGATGTGACAACTGGGAGCCACCAAACCTACTGGCCCTGGAAACTTTTTCCTTCATTAACCCACTTGGTGCTTTTATCAGCATTAGAGACAGTGACAGGCAGACACATGAAGGGAAGAGAAGCTGAAATATCAGCTAAGAGCCTTTCCCCATTGCATTAGGACCTCAGGACAAGTGCAGGGCACGGAATGGGATTGGAGATTTTCCAGGGTTGGACTGGGGGAGGTAGGGTCCCCTTGAAAATCTCTGCAATCACTAGGAACTGCCTGCACGTTGTTTCCAGGAGGGGAACGGTGCCTATGTGCTTGAGGGAGAGCTGGAGGCTGATGTCCGTGGGCTGGTGGAGGAGATGGGCTTCCTGAACGCCATGTGTGAGGAGGTGAGCACTGGCCGGGAGGACATTAGTCATCCCTGTTCACTCTGTCCCAGGCCAGCCTTTGTACAGAGGAAACGGACAGAAGGGTCTGCAGGCGTGAGGGCTTTGGAAATCGTGGCTCTGTGGTATGTGTGTGTGTGTGAAGGGGGAATGTGAGCAGTGTTCTACTTGGCTCTGGATGGTATAGGTGACGGGAATGGCTGTTGGCCCCACAGGACACACGGGTCATCCACGCCCACATCTCAGACACCTTAGTCATCATCAAGGTGGATATCAGCCAGGACCTGAACATGGGCTGCACTGTGACTGAGATCTAGGCTAACTATGATGACATTGCCAGATGCAGTCAGGCTGAAGCCAAAAGCTGGTACCTCAGCAAGGTGAGAGGCACAGGACACCTGCCTCCTAGATATGACAGTGGGAAGGATGCCAGGCATATATTAACAAGGCCTCTTTTGTCTGGGGATTCTGATCCTTAGGATGGTAACAGAAGGGCAGACAGCTCTCAGGTTACAGTGGCTGGGCAGGGCTGCCACGTATGGTCGCACAGGCTGAGCACTGTACAACCTACCAATCATCTGTGGTGTCTGAGTGGGTGGGAAACTGCATCCTGAGCCTCAGGACCATCTCTGCTCCCCTCCTCCCCCACCCCACCCCCCTCCCAGTGTGAGGAGATGGAGGCTACGGGGACACAGTGATCCGGCACGGGGAGACCCTGCGCCGCACCAAGGAGGAAATCAACGAGCTCAACCGCATGATCCAGAGGCTGACCGCTGAGGTTGAGAATGCCAAGTGCCAAGTAAGGGTCACCTGGGGCTTCCCCAGGGTCACAAAGGCAGTGTGTGTTCCCAGTGGATCTCACCATTCATGCTCCAGCCCATTTGCCTGACCAGCATCCTGGTTGTGGTCCCTGGGGGAGACTCAGCTGATGAAGGGGAGAGGTCTGTTCTTGGGGTGTCCCCAGCTGGGGGAGGGGAGAGACTGGACACATCCAGGAAATGGACAGAGAGACCCAGGACCGTAACCCACCTTGTTCTCCTCTGGGCCCCCAGAACTCCAAGCTGGAGGCTGCAGTGACCCAGGCTGAGCAGCAGGGCGAGGTGGCTCTGAGCGATGCCCGCTGCAAGCTGGCGGAGCTGGAGGCCGCCCTGCAGAAGGCCAAGCAGGACATGGCTTGCCTGGTCAAGGAGTACCAGGAGGTGATGAACTCCAAGCTGGGCCTGGACATCGAGATTGCCACCTACAAGCGGCTGCTGGAGGGCGAGGAGCACAGGTGGGTGCAGCCAGGGGTGGGCAGCGCAGCATAGGCCTGACCCATTGTTTGCTCCCGGACTTCTCCAGCGCCCGTTTCTTCTGCTGCTGCCATCTTGGAAAACTTCAGGGCCCCTCCCACCCCTGAGGAGAGGCTGAGAAGAATTTTAGCTGAGGTCCACTGCCTGATTTCTAACATGCCTCTTGGGACAGTGGCTGGCTGGTAAATGTTTAAGAACTGGCTCTCAGAGGAAGAAAACGCCCCTATTTACAGTACTTGCCAACTTCAGTGTGTAAACTCTTCCGTCATGGCCAACGGCGACTTCAAGGAGGGTGGGCTAGAAATGTGCAAAACAGGCTCTGTGAATTGGTTCCAGAACACCATTGGTTAGAAAGCAGGAGAAAAGGAGGCCTCCAACAGAGAGGGCAAACAGAAGATACTCTTATTGTACTGGAGAGATGAAACAGCTCAGGGAGACTGGATTGCTCCTGATCAGCTAGCCCATCGGTGTGGGTGGGGCTGCAATCCAGAGCTGGATTCCCGGGGGCAGGTAGAGGGGTCTCTGTGGCCTACTGCATTTGGCAGGTCCCACTTCTCAGAGGGATCTGGGAGAGCCTGCCCCTCATGTTCTTTTGGGACAGGGTTGGAGAGATGTTGAGCCTTTGGGGATGCTGCACCCCAGGCCTTCTCCTCTGACCTTCTGGGGAATCTTGAATGATTCTTGGGGCGACTGGGTTCCGAGCTAGTGACCACGTTACTTCTGTGCCCACACCTAACACTGACCTTGTCTCTCCTACATCAGGCCGTGTGAGGGCAGCAAGTGCTCTGATTCTGGCTCTGGAGGGAGACATTGCAGTTAGACAGTGGGAAGAACGTTTTAGCTCTTAGGGTGGAGAGACCCAGGGAGAAGGGGTTTCCTTCATTTCCTACCTCACAGTGATGACGAGGGGGCTGGATGACAGGTCATGAGTGGACTAATTCCTCACACCATGCCTGTCCGAATGGAAGTCTTAGTTTCCCATTGTTAGGAAGCTCGCATTTTCTCCCTGTCCAAGCACACTTGTCTATGTTCAAGATGTCAAATATTTTCTGGACTAAAGTGTTTCATCAGCTTGGTTGTCCCCAGAGAAGTCTTCCTGAGGTCAGTGATAGAAGAATAGATTAAGAAGGGATTGAGATTAAATCACAAGATGGACTCCCTTCCAGTAAAGGGTGGGAGTCCAGGGGACAGGCCACAGGGAAGCTCATGTTGGCTTTCCTTACCGTTGGAGACGTGGATGAGCAGGAGCCATCCCATCCGCCTGGGTGCTCTTGGCTGGTAGGGAGGGTGTTCTAGGTGGTGGCGGGGGGCTGTTTGGAACCAGCTCCCCATCCCCGCCAAAGGTTTGGACTTGTTATTATCCCTGTGGCAGTGTGGTGTGAGCAGCTCTCAGGCGGAGTTGTATGTGGGGACCTTTCCGTCATCCATCCGTTCTGGTGGCATCAGATACTGTGGGATAGGAGCTTGTGGCCGCAGCTGTAAGAAGTGTCAAGCTGGCTGGGCTTGATGAAACACCAGGCCCCCAGCGCTCTCACCCTCCCTGAGGATCCCGGCTGGCCCTCTGCCCAACCCAACCATGGTGGTGGGGTGTAACCGCTTGGTCTCACCCTGGCCCATCTTCCATGCCGTCCACTTCTCTTTTCTTGTTGTGTGGGAGTCTCCCTCCTTGTCTCCTGTCTCCCTCAGGCTAAGGAAGGATATTGGGAGGAGAGGCACATGGATATATTCTGTTGGAGGAATCTGGGCCGCTTGACTCATGAAGAGGACAGTCCCTCAGCCCCCACCCCTCAACCTTGCCCTTCCCCGAACTCTTGCTCTTCCCTTCCTTTCCCAGAACTTCCTTCCCTCCCTGCTGTCGGTGCTTAAAATAAAGTCACATGGTTCCTGTCATGCTTTCGATCTTTCTGTCCGTTATTTTGGTCCTGGAAAGGGTGGGTGGGATTTCCAGGAGGACATTCAATGTGGTGGGGGCTGCTAAGGCCATGCCAGCTATTTATTTAAGTGAGTGTCAAGGCTGGGGACATTGAGGAGGGATGTTCTGATGGCTCAGGACTCCAGAGGGAATACTCCAGTGTCAGGAAGTGTCTGTCTGGCCCAGTGTTGCCTTGTAGTGGGCACTGATCGTTGTTAAGAGAATAAATGAATTCATCTCTAAGGCTTCCAATTTCCCACAGGGCATCTCCACTTGAATGTTGCACTGATATTTGGAATTCAAAATGCCTTGAAATCACCTCGTCATTTTCCCCTGTACTGATGCCCATTCGCCAGCTTTCCCTCTTTTTACCAGTTCTTTCTAATATTCCAGCTTCAAACCCTTTGATATCATTTTCCCCACCCAACGAGTCACAGAACCCTGCCTATTTTTTCCTTTGAAAAATGCCACTGGGAGCCTCTTTTCTTGCAAAATGTCAGACTAGGACCTCTGAAAAACCCTTTTGTCATTAGTCACTTACAGTTCTGAAAAAATATACTTAAAATATATTTAAATGCATCACTGAGCTAGCAAAAAGGCATGGCAAGTTAGAAGGAGGAACAAGATGGAAATTCCAGAATTGCAAAGTACATTCATTGAAATGAAAAGTTCAATGGGTGGGCTTAATGAAAGCCTGAAGATGTCAGGGGTAGGGTCTGTATACTAAAGACAGATGAATAGAAATTTTCCAATCTGAACAACAGAGAAAAAAAGGTCGAAGAAAAAGTAATAGAGCCTTGGAGACCTGTGGGACAGTATCGAATAATCTAGTATATGCATATTTAGGGTTCCAGAAGGAAAAAGGTGAGAATGATGTGGGAAAAAATTTGAAGGAATTCTTGGTGGAAAACAGCAATTTACAGATCCAAGAACCTTGTAGTGCCCAAGAAGACAACTGGCTGTTTGAAGCAAAAATAATAATATTGTTTATAATGTACGTAGAAGTAAAAGATCTGGCAATGATGACACAGATGATGGGGAGGCGGGTCAATGAACTACACTATTGTGAAGTGTGGAGTAGCACAGTATTTTTTTTTTTTAAAGATTTTATTTATTTATTTGACAGAGAGAGACAGTGAGAGCAGGAACACAAGCAGGGGGAGTGGGGGAGCCCGATGTGGGACTCGATCCCAGGACCCTGGGATCATGACCTGAGCCGAAGGCAGACGCTTAATGACTGAGCCACCCAGGCACCCTGGAGTAGCACAGTATTAACTCCAAATAGACTTTGATAATTAAGGATGTATAGTTTTAGTTCTGAAACACCACTAAAAACAAATATTTATTATCATAAACAAAAAAAAAATTTAAACATTTTTATTTTTTTAAAAAGATTTTATTTATTTGAGAGAGAGAGAGTGAGGAGAGAGAGAGAGAGCGCATGAGCAGGGGGAGGGGGGAGGGGCAGAGGGAGAAGCAGACTCCCTGTCCAGCAGGGAGCCCGATGCAGGGCTCATCCCAGCACTCCGGGATCATGACCTGAGCTGAAGGCAGACACTCAACCAATTGAGCCACCTGGGCACCCCCCAAAAAAGATATTTCAATAGAATAAATAATAATAAATATTTAAAAGTATTTGATGAACTCAAAAGAAAGCAGAAAGGAACAATAGGGGACCCAAAAAACCCACCTGAGACAAGTGAGAAACAAAAAACAAGATGGCTGACCCAAATCGAATCATATAATAATTACATGAGAGGTTTATGTTAAAAACTAACCCCTCAATAACAGAAGACAAACAATTCAGTGAAATGGGGCAAAAGATATCAATCAACGCTTTACAAAAGAAGATGTGTTAAGGGCCAATGAGCACATGGGAGCTTGCTCATCATTATTAGTTGTCAGGGAAATCTGCTATGAGAAAAACCCAACACCCAGGAGAAGGCTAACATTTAAGAGACTGATGATACCAAGTGTGGAGCAGGTGGAGCTTTCATGGAGGGTAAAATTGTACAGTCACCTCGGCAAACAGTTTGGCAATTTCTTATCAAGTTAAATGTATACTACCAAAAGGCAAAGCAATTCCACTCTTGGGTATTTATTCAAAAGAAATGAAAAATAGGTTTACTTAGAGACTGGTACATGAATTTCATAGGGGCTTCATTTAGAATAGCCCCCAAACGGAAACAACACGTGAATGGACAAACAAAACTGAGATATATTTATACAACAGAATATGACCCAGACATACAAAAGAATGACCTACTGATTCATGAAATGACATGGATGAGCTGAGTGAACAAGGCAGACACAAAAGAGAACATACTGAATGCTTCTATTCCTACAAAGTTCTAGAAGTGGCAATACTAACCTACGGTGGTGGAAATTAGATCAGTGGTTGTCTGGGATGGGGGGGAGATGGGCTGCAAAGGGACATCGGGGAACTTTCTGAGATGATGGAAATGTTCTATACCCTCATTCAGTTGTAGTTAAATGGGGCATGCATTTGTCAAAATGTGTCGAACTGTATACTGACTATGTGTGCATTTTATTGTATGTATATTTTATCTCAACAAAATTAATAAAAATTAATAAAATGACTTAAAAACCCAGTCTAAAAAATATGTGAAAGACCTATATCTAGAGAAATACAAACATTATGTGAAATGAAAGATAACAGGGCGCCTGGGTGGCTCAGTTGGTTAAGTGACTGCCTTCGGCTCAGGTCATGATCCTGGAGTCCCGGGATCGAGTCCCACATTGGGCTTCCTGCTCAGCAGGGAGTCTGCTTCTCCCTCTGACCCTCTTCCCTCTCATGCTTTCTGATCTCTCATTCTCTCTCTCTCTCAAATAAATAAATAAAATCTTTAAAAAAAAAAAGAAATGAAAGATAACAAAGCAGTGCTAACTAAATGAGGAGTTAGATCATATTCATAGATGGGAAGCTTCATTATCATAAAGATATTAATTCTCCTTAAACTGATTTACAGGGTCAATGCAACCATGATCGAATTCCAAATAAGGATTTACCTAAATCTTAACAAGTTGATTCTAAAGTTTATGGTGAAGAATAGCAATCGAGAATAGTCAAGGCACTATAAAAGAATAAATAGGATAATAAAGAATGAATGAGTATTTGCCCTTTCAGAGATAATTATAAAGATATTAATT